GTTTTTTAAAGTGCTATATAAATACATTTATACAATTAATAGAAATAGTAATTAATAATTAATAAAAACACTAAATATGACTGCTACTATTACTATTAACCATTGTATCGATACAGCTATAATTTCATGATAAAACATTATTTCTTTAAACATTTAAATTCTTCATGTACTGTAATGTCCATCTTTTGTGTTAATGTTGTTTTTTTTTATTACTACTTAAAATATTTTATGGATTGTAACATTTTAAACTGGACAGAATTTATACACATTAAAATGTTATTGTGTGATAATAGTGTTTATATTGTGCCAAATGTAAGTCTCAGAAAGCAGAAGTGAATCAGTCAGAGGTTTTTGTCATGGTGTGAATCACTGTGGTACAGCTTCACTAGCAGAGTCATCCCATGTGCTACAGTAATACACTGCTGAGTCTCCTGTTTCTGCCTGCTTTATAATAAACTGGAAGTCAATTCTTGATGTGGCTTTAGAGTTAAATCTGTCAGAGGAGAAACCTGCTCCGAAATTATCAGGGGAACTGTCAGAAGGATGAAGCCTCAGAATGTACTGAGGAGTCCCACCAGGCACCTGTTTGTACCAACTGACATAATTGCTATGATCTATCTGAACGTTGCAGTTGAGAACAACCTGTTGTCCTGTAGAAACTGAGTGAACAGCAGGAGTCTGGGTCAAAACTTTAGCTGCATCAGCATCTGTAAAAGTACAACGAGAAAGGCATGAGTGATAAATATGTGTTTGAAAATAAAGAATATAAAATAAGACAAAAGGGCCACTTACATGTTAGAGCAGAGATGACAGTACAGAGAATCCACAGCATGTTGTCAGTTTGTGACCTTAATCTTGATTATGGTGACACTGTGAGACGAACCTGTTTAAGTGAAAGAAGAAGACAGACTGAGACTTATAAAGAGTCTGAGGGGAGAAAACAGGGAGGAGAGGATTCTGTAATATGTTGATTCACTAATTTACATACATTGATGAGCAGGGACTGTACTGTTCAGACAAGCTTTACTTTTTTAAAGTTTTTAGTTTTAACTTTATCCTCACATTTCTAATTCAATTTAAGAAAAGCAGTCAATAAATTAGACTTAGACTTAGAAAGACTCAAGCAAAGACCTATTCTTACATTCCTGGACGTCCTAAGTTTCTATCCTGTAATTTTGCAATTTCGAGTGTGAATGGATTCCCTGTCTTCCTGATGTTTGTGTTGTTTACTCATGTATTTGGGTCACCACATTGTTATGCTATTCGCAGAAAACAGGCAGAAATCACAGTTTTCTTTGAAAAATGGCTAAAGTCACTGCAATGTCCAAACATTTGTTTAAAGTTTGTTTATGGATAAGAATCTTGTTTAAAATCAGTTATTTAGTTTGTGGCAGTCCTTACTGAAGGGACGACTTTGCTATTTAATTAATTTGGCAAAACTAAATGCAGCCATGCCATATTATTTTTATTTTTTTAATTTTTTGTAAACATATTTCCTTCAACTCTTACTTTATTCAAATAAAAAATAACAATAATAATAAAGTGGCTACAGTGATGTTGAAAATAGCAAATATAAAGCATAGATTAAATAATTAATTTTAACAAAAAACTAGTGGAAATATTTATTAAACATGTTTACTCTCAATGTGTTATAAAGTCACCTATGAAAGGAAATCAAACTGTATGTTGGAAACTCTCAGTCTCAGTTAAAGCCGTTCACTGCAGAGCTCAGTTAACATGAGGCACAGTGAACCTGCAGCCTTAGGCTTTATTTTCCTATGAATGGTGAAAACTGCAAAAATCAAACCAATCTACAAATGTTTATCATGGTAAAACAGTGAATGATAAGTTTTAATCTGCATACAGGTGTAATGGTGTAAGTATTTATCAGACTAATACTGACACATTTTGTTTATTCATTTACAGATTGTGGTTTCTCAACATCTTTCACAGCGATCTTTGTGTCTTCAAGAAAACATATTTGATTCAAAAATGTCTTTCAAACTCTGAGCTTCAGAGCTCCTCCTCCTGTCAGTCACTCTCAGTTTGTGTTGTATTAAAGCCTCCTTACAGCACATCCTCTCCTCATCCTCTTATCTCTCTCATCTGTCAGCAGTAAGGTCACTTTACACATTTCAAGATCGTTCTCAGAACACACTGACAACATGCTGGGGACCCTCTGCGCTCTCATCACTGCTCTAACATGTAAGGAGGATGACTTACAGCAGACTGAAGCTCAGCTGGATTTATCAGTCTGTGTTTCTTGTGACTTCATGTCATCTTGTTGTTTACAGGTGTGAGTGGTGTGACGGTGCTGACCCAGACGCCTCCTGTTGTGACAGTGAGGAAAGGAGAGACAGCCACCATGGACTGTAACCTGGGGACTGTTACTAACAGTGCTGCTCGTTGGTATAAACAGATTCCTGGAGAAATTCCTCAGTTTGTGCTGAATTTTCATCGGAGTTATAGCTCACCAAGCTATGGTTCTGGGTTTTCATCTCCAAAGTTCACATCAACTCATCAGTCCACAACAAATTATTGTTTAACAATCAACAATGTAGAAGAGCGAGACTCTGCAGTTTATTACTGTAAGACATGGGATGGCTCTGTCAATAATTTTGTATCACAGTGATTCATATCATGACAAAAACCTCCACACAAACACTTCTGCTTTTTGACAAATGGAGAACTGCTGGAGTGAAAAATAAAGACATTCATAAATCATTTTTGGAAGTCTCTGCTTTTTAATTTTTTCTTATATATTTCACTGTTTACTTCTTTGTGCACTTTTGTACTTGTTTGTTTAAATTGTGACACCCCATGTAAACTGTTGGATTTTAGAGGTCCAGTGTAACTCAATTGACAATTTAACAGATAACAATACTGGGTAACACTTTATTTGAAGGGGGTTGAATAAGACTGACATGACACTGTCATTAACTCCTGTCATGAACATGAATAAGCCTTCATGAATATTTATGACTGTTGTCATAAAGCGTCATTCGGTAAATTATGACACTTTTAATACAAAGTTGACATTATTCAAAATGTCTTTGTTATGACAACTTGACATTAACCAAGAAACCATTACTGATATAAATTTGTTATAAAAGTATTACTGATTGCACTTTAAAAATTAGGTAACTTTATGTTATTAAAGGTAAAGTTTAAACAGTAATGATTTCCTGGGCTTATTCATGTTCATGCCATGTGTTATGTCATGTTTATGAAAGTGTCATGACAGTCTTATTCACCCCCCTTCAAATAAAGTGTTACCCAATACGGTGACTTGAAAAAATATATTGATTCAAACTTTTGCTCCTACATACTTTCTAAAAGGTTTTATGTTTTTGCAAGATTTCCTTCATATGTTAGAATTATAACTCATTAAAACACTGTTTCAATTTGCTATAACATGTCTTACTGGGAAAAGAAATGGAAAATGTAAAGAAATCCGCAATAGATGTTCTTTCGGTGTAATCAATATTTGTTATTCTGCCTACATATTGCAGAATATTGACTGCTCAGCTTTATCCCACATCTGTCCACAGTACTGCCACAATTTTAATAACCATGAGAAACATCTAGAAGTTTAATTTGCAGTACTTATGAACATTATTGAGGCATTTATGTCAACATGATTTATCAGTAATACAAAGATGGACGTCATCATTTGGGATTAGGAAAATATATTTTCGAACTAAACAAATAAAACAACAAAAAAACTCACTGTCTGGTAGGAGTATAATCTTTGCAAAAACCTACACTGAGTTTTTCCATTAAAACATGCTTATTAGACTCATATGAATCTCCTCCTCCTCCACTTCTCATGCCATCAAGGTCCTTAAAAGCCTCCGTTTCTCTCCTCCTTTCAGTCCAACCTGCTCACCATTCTGCCACACAGAAAAAAAACACAAATAAAAAACATTTATACCACAAACTGACAACATGCTGGGGATCGTCTGCAGTCTCATTACTGCTTTAACATGTAAGATTCTTTTCAGAATATTAAAGATGGTCCATGCAAACCTTTTGATTCAACTGTTTCTCTTCATGTGTTGTCAGGTGTTGATGCAGCGATAACATTGACCCAGTAGCCTATCAAGAAAGTCTCAGCAGGACAACAAGTTGTTCTAAGCTGCAACATTCAGAGATGTGATGGATATTATGTCAATTGGTACAAACAAGTTCCTGGTGGAGTTCCTCAGTATGTTCTGCGTTTTCGGCACCATGACAGTTCACTTGAGTTTGGAACAGGATTCTCTTCAGA